TAAAAAAAAAAAAAAAAAAAAAAAAAAAAAAAAAAAAAAAAAAAAGGAATGGCTCTTAACCTACAAATCAATAAACTCAACAAGTACAACACGTGGGCAACATGCATAATGTCTTATTTACAAGGACATGACCTTTGGGAGCTCGTTGGTAGGAGTGAAATTACGCCACCAAAGAAAGATTCTAACGACGCCTTGTGCAAATGGAGAATCAAAGTAGGCAAAACAATGTTTGCCTTGAAGACCACAATTGGAGAAGAGATGTTAGAGCACATTTGGGATGACAAGACACCGAAAGAAACATGGGACACGTTCCTTTGATGCAGTCATTGATTCGAGAGGTCACAATTACCACGAGCAAACATATTAATGACGAGGAACACATTTTTGCTATTCTACTAATACTTGTACTTGCTCTGCTATTCTGCCGAAGCCTGACTAAGGAAGAATTACGGGGCGTAAAACGATGCTATTCTCAAAGAAGAACGATACGAGGCTACAACTTATGGAGAACGTGTTGTTGTCAATTTCACGTGACATGATGATTGCTCAGTACTTCCACAAGATCAAGTCGATATGTCGGGAGATTACTGAAATAGACACGAAATCCACCATTGGAGAATCTCGAATGAAGAGAATCATTATCCACAGATTGTGACCAAAATATAGAAGATTCGTTATTGCTGTACAAGGATGGCCCGCTCAACCATCACTTGTAGAGTTTGAATATTTGTTAGCCAGCCAAGAAGTCATGGCTAAAAAAATGAGAGACATTACATTGAACGGTGAAAAAGAAGCACTCTACACAGGTGAAAGTTGGAGCAATAATAAGTTGTCCACTATTGCTTTGACTGAGGAGGAAATGTTGACGGAGAAAAAGCCGAACGAAAAATCTTGGAAGAAGAAAATAACGAAATAACATAGAGAGAAAGTATGTGCTTGAAGACCCCACGTATTATTTTTGATTCAGTTGACTATTTAAATAACCAATTTAATCCTAAAAATGGAAAGGAGTGGGTAACATAATTATAGCGCTTACACTCCACGTGTACTTCCCACAGAAAGATAGTCATCTAAAAAAAATAGTAACTAAAAAGTAGGCATGATTTTGGATTTATCTAACATCGACTAAAGTGGATACAAAAATGGTAACAAAGAAGAAGTAGCCAAAGAATTGTACAATAAGGAAGAGCTCAGAAGAACAATAACAATAACATACAATAAGGAAGAGCTCAGAGAAACAATAATAATAACTCCCAAGGGAAGAGATTTGGAGGTACCTTCTACCATTGCGGGAAAAATGGCTACATGTCTCGAGATTGTTTGTCCAAGAAAAATTATGTTGAAAGCAATCTGACAACATCCGAAAAGAAGATGGAGGATGAATGGGATGCAGAGGAAATATGTGTCATAGAAGGAGACGAGTTAGTGCTCATGGCAATGATGGGAGAATATATCGATTACGATGATGACTAAATAAGTGATTCAAGATGCTCAAACCACATGATTGACGATCAGAGTGGTACAATGGAGACATGATGGCCCTTAGAGAAGAAAGTATTACCAAGCTTCGACAACATTGAAGAATTTTTTCCACAGAAGACGAGGGAGCAAATTGTACATATTAGCTTAAGTGTTGATGTGTCTGAATATCCAAGTGACACTGATGTTGGTGAGCAAGAAGTGACTCAACAAAGCGAACCTGGTGAAAAGGAAATAGTACCATAATGAATTCAACGATCAGAAAGAATCCAAAAGCCAAATTCAAAATATGTCAATGTAGCTATTATAGAAGACGAAGTTAAAGAGCTAGAGACGTATGAAGAAGTATCACACAATACAGTTTGGCAGCAAGCAATGGAGGAAGAAATTATTCCTTTGGAGCAAAATCAAACTTAGGAACTAGTACCAAGACGAGAAGATGCCGAATCCATCTCTTGCAAGTGGGGGTTATAAAATAATGTGTCGACCAGATGGATCAATCGAGAGATACAAGGCTCGACTCGTAGCTCGAGGGTTTTCTCAACAATATGAACTGACTATGATGAAACGTTTAGTCCAGTGATGAAAATCATTATCGTGCAGGTTCCTTCAGTACTTGCAGTAAATAAAGATTGGAAATTATGGCAGATGAATATGAAGAATGTTTGATTGCATGGAGTGTTGGACTGGGAGATCTACGTGACCAATCAAATAGATTTGAAAATGAAGTTGATTTTAGTAGTCAGTACATGCAAGGTGCAAATTAGTCTCATTTGGATGCAGCTCGACGGACCTTGAAATATGTCAATGTTGGGTTTTATGTCCTAAAACTCATAGTTTGTAAACAAAGACATTCTATTTTCAATAAAGTTATTATTGATGTTTATTCAGTAAATATTGTTATTAAATAAAGTGAACTTTACGATCATTAATCTAAATCCAATAAACTAAGAACACTCTGGCTATAGTATGATTACTTGAACTATATGTAGAGACATAAAAGTGGATCAAGTTCAAGTATATAGTCAAAATGATCTATAGTATAAGAAAAAGGCTGAGTACCTTATTCTAGAGACACTATGGATGCGGCCCACTTTTATATATGATATAAACAATGTGATCACTAAATTGTACATGTGGAGACATGTGAGTGGAGACGTCCTATGCAATGAGTATTGCATAAGATCGGATCATGAAGAAAATCACTCTCTCTTTATAATGTCGTTTATTGTTGAGACTGATTTTCTTTTCATTCGATGACCTAGGTAACTCAATCTTAATCCTGAGCTAACCATGAACTCCTGTTTGTTCGGAATTATCCTTAGATTTGCATGGGTGAGAGTGGCTCGAGTTTGCCGACTCAATAGGCCTCCCATTTCAGGGGAGGGTGAATAGTTGGGGACGTGGGGTGCAAGATGGAATTCGCTCCTACCCACTTTTAGGGATAGAAGAGAAGTAGTTCCCTTAAGTACTGACTCCAGGTCTTGAACAAGGGGCCCCACCCACTCATTGGCCTGAGAGGGATTTGGTTTACTGGTTGGACCACAAACCAATTGTCATGAGAGGATCAATGAGACATAAGGAACAAGAAGTAACTTTAGGGGTAAAACGGCTAATTGACCCAGCTCTAGCTATGAACAACCTGTGAAGGATCAACTTACTAACCATGGTTATATCAAATGGACAGAAATATATCTATAGTGAGAGGAGTGCAACTACTAGGCTATAGTGGAGTGTCCTAGTAGTTAACGAATATTGGTTAATAAGGTTAATGAGTTTAACCGGTTAATCTTGGATCGTTGGAGCTCATGATCTATAAGTCCATTAGGTCCATCTGCTAGCTCATATCGGACTAAACCATAGAACAGTGTGACGAGTGAGTTTAAAGTGTTCGAATTCAAATTAAGGAATATACGCTACATATATACGATATACTTAACTGCATTTTTGTTTTATTTACGAATTAAACAAAAAGAGAGAATTTGAGATATTTAAATAAGATTTAAATATCTTAATCAATTATGGCGGAATTGATTGGGATTGACATTTGAATTAATATTAAATATTAATTAAATAGTTTAATTAATCATTTAATGTTACTCTAATTTGAAATTGATTATTCAAATTAATTGTTGAATTAAAATGAAGAAAGTCAAAATGTTTGACTTCATTTAATGGAAAATTCATGTTACTGGAATTTTGAGGTGTCAAAATTTGGTTTAACCAAACTTGCATGCTTGCCAAATAAACCCCACAAGTTTGAGTGGAATTTTGAGTGTCAAAATTTGGTTAACTCAAACATGCATGCTTGCCACATAATCCCAAACATTTGAGTGGAATTTTGAGTGTCAAAATTTGGTAATCTCAAATTTGCAGGAACATGCAAACATGACTCTTTAAATAGAGTGATCATGGTACATGGAAGGACTTCTTCCTTGAAAAGACTTTGAGAAAATTCTCACAAGCTCTCTCTTCATATATACTAAATCCCTCCCAAGTTTAGTCACTCACTGGATTCCACAATCTCGTTCTAAGGCCTGAGGATAGTGGAGAAGACACTAGTGGTGGTTCGAAACCGATTCATGAGGAAAAAGGAATTTGAACTACAAAAGGTTAGTATTCAAATTCATTAAGTTTTAATACTTATGAACATGCTAGTTATTTACTATAATTGATATTCTAAAAGTGCTTAAGATCCAAATTGCTTCTGCATGTGTTATATTAACACCATCAGTCAAAGGTACAATCCATTATGATCGTTTGTACAAAATAAGCGAAAACTGCAAGTTAGTTGGATAACGTGATGCTGACTATGCAGGATATCACGATAACAAAAGGTCAAGTATTGGATATGTGTTCAAGATCAATTAGAGAAATTTTTTTTGTGTCGCAAAAGACAACCAACAATATCATTGTCACCTAGATGAGTAGAGAACAAAGCAGCGGCTGAAGCAGCTCGGGAACGTACATGGCTGAAACTCTTGATAGAAGATTGGCACCAAAAAATTGACTATCCAATACTAATTCATTGCGACAACCAATCTGTGATTCGCCTAGCAGAAAATACGGTGTTTCATGCTAGAAGAAAGCATATGGAGGTACACAATCATTTCAATAGAGAGAAAGTCCTGAAAGAAGAAATCGAGATGCAGTAGATCAAGATAGATGACCAAGTAGCAGACTTGTTTACAAAAGGACTAACATTAGAGCTTTTGTTGTCAGCTCAACATAGTGCAGTGAATGAGAAGTAGTGTCGAGGGGAGTGTTAAAATATCATCACTAGCTCAATAGGATACTAGCCCAATAAGGTTAAGCCCAACAATTGCATGAGTCATATATATTTATGTTAGGAAATGATTTAGGAATTTTATGAATAAATTTAGGAAAATGATTTGAGGAAAAAGGTTCTAGAAATTTTAGGAATAAGTGGTCTAACCTCTGTTGTAAATACTCCTTCATCCTATCTAGGTTATCATCTCAAGAAATACAAAATAATAGTATTATACGAAGTATCTTGTAATTTGTTCTTGATTTATTTTAATAAAGAGTGTGAGTGTTTTCCAGAGTCACGTTCAACATGGTGTTCCCCCGACCACCTTTTATCTCATGACCTTAATGGTAAATAATGTAGAATTCAAAATAGCCACGAACATTTAATCTCAATTATGGGTAGGTATGGGTAAGTGAGAAATTAACATATTTAACAACAAAAAAAAAAAAAAAAAAAAAAAAAAAAAAAAAAAAAAAAAAAAAAAAAAAAAAAAAAAAAAAAAANAAAAAAAAAAAAAAAAAAAAAAAAAAAAAAAAAAAAAAAAAAAAAAAAAAAAAAAAATCTTTGTATGCCATTTTTTAATTGGAGACTGAGGATAAACTTGAAAAAAAAGTACAAGTTAAATATTCATCGTCAAAGAAGTGATGCCCTCTTTGGAACTCTCCATCCTACCGAGGCTGGGAACAATTATGTGAAGTTTATCCCCCATATTTAAAATAGTTCTACTTCTAAGATGTAGTTCGAGGGTGTGTACTCAATATATGACTTATCGGTGAACTTTTTCTGCCCTCTAATTCTAGTGTTCAAAAGCTCGGCTGAATTCATCTGAAACTGTTAACTATTTTATGGACTTCCTCTAGTTGCTGTCTTCTTCCTACTCATATCTCAACTATCCGATTCCTTTGCGGTTGGGTGCTCGGTCGACTATATATTGCTAAACATTCCCTTGCCCCTGCTACTCCTGGATATTTCATGTCCTCATTAATATTAAATTCAACTTTTTGGTCACTCATTCTTAATATTATGGTTCCCTTGTAGACATCTAATAGTGTTCTCCCTGTCTTTAAAAATGGTCTATCCAAGATAATTGATACATCACGGTCCACTTCATAGTCTAATAATAAAATTCGCTAGAAATATGAATTTATCCACTTGAATTAAAATGTCTTCGATCTTTCCTTCTGGATAAGTATGGACCTATCGGCTAGTTGAATGGTGAATGGAGTTGGTCTAGCCTCACCGATTCCTAACGTCTTGTAAATAGATAGATGCATTAAGTTAATACTTGCACCCAAGTCACATAATGCTCTACCTAACTCCTTTTCTCCAATTGATACGAGAATAGTGAACGAGTCTGAGTCTTTCTCTTTTAGTTGAATCTTGTTTTTTAATATTGCACTACACTCTTCATTTAGTATCATCACCCAAATTTTTTCAAACTTCCTTCTATTCGTGAGCACATCCTTCAAGAGTTTGACATAATTTGACATTTGGTTTAACATTTCTACCCGTGGTATGTTTATATGAATTTCCTTCAAAATATTTATAAACTTCTCAAAATTGGCTTCCTCTTTATTTCTTTTTATTTTATTTTGTAGTAAATAAAGTGTCCATATGTATGTATTGCTCTCTTGTTCACCTGTGATTGTTGCCTTGGTTTTAGGAGAATGTACTGTTTTTGCATAATTTTTGTTTTGCTCCTTATGTTCATCTGCTTCTTGGGAGTGACTATTGGTGTGTTCTTTAGTTTTTCTCCTCTACTGGGTATTTCTTTCCCACTTTTCAATTCTATTGCTTGACACTACTCCTTGCCTTTTCTTTTTGGTGTTTAGGTTTCTACTCACAACTTCCCAAGAGGTTTATTTCATAACTCGGTTGCTAATTGACCTACTTGAACTTTCAAATTTCGCAAGGATGCTTGCTCACTTTGTATCACAATATTATTTTTAGCCATATATTTCTTTATGAGGCTCTCAAACGATGTTCCCGGTATGTGTTGAGCTTGGCTAATTCCTTTCATTTGGGTATTGGCTTGTTGAGTACCATATGTCATTGATTTTGAAGTCCAAAACCTAGAGGGTAATTTGATTTAGGTGACATTCATTGATTGTATGAGCTTAGTAAATTCCATGAGAAGTTTGGATGGTTTCTCCATGAGTTATAAGTGTTTGAGAATAGATTATTTTTCTGGTTGCCTTAACTAGCTTGATTTCCCAAGTAAAAATTGAAGTCGGATTACTTGGACATTAATCAAAAGTGTGTTCTTCATATACACAAGATTTAGTTGTTGTTTGAGTCATTATGGCAACAGTTTGGACATGTGCTTTAGTCATTGAACCTTGTCCTAACGCAGCTAATTGAGCGTTGATAAACGTCAAATCATCAACTTCAAGTACTCCTTGGGCCTTCTTTCGTGGATTGCTCCTCACATCAGCCCATTGAAAATTGTTAGACGCTATTCTTTCTAGAATCTCATAAGCTTCATTGTATGCCTTCGACAAGATAGCTCCATTGGCGGAAGCATCAACTACTTGTTTAGTAGCAATATTCAATCCATTGTAGAAAGTCTCCATATGGATAGAATGAGGAAGTTCACGGTGAGGACACTTTTTAAGCATCTCCTTGAATCTTTCCCCAAGTTTCACTAAATGTTTCATCTTCAAACGGTTGACAAACAACAATTTCATTTTTGAAGAATGTGTTTTTAGTGGATGGGAAATACTTCCCCAAGGTACTCAACAATGATTTAACACCCTCCGTCAAAGAATAAGGGAATAAACTAAATCTAATGTCTCTGGATTCAAAATGAGTCACTTCTTTATTTATTTAAAGAGAAAGTACAAGTGTAAGTGCTCTCGCTTGAACATCGTCATTTGTAACCATTCCCCATCTTTGTTATATATTTTATTTTGAATACACGAGGGAGAGAATTATTTATATGGTGCTCTTTTTTATTTCTTCATGATATTATTAATATATATATATATATACATATATTATACCGCTAAAAATGTGTTTCTCAGGGTGCATATCCCTCGTGTTTACCTCCACCGTATCTACCATATTCCTCATGCTTACCTCCGTCATATCTCCCGTAGTTTCCTCCATCGTATCCCTCGTGTTTACCTCTGTCGTATTCATCATGCTTACCTCCGTCGTATCTCCCGTAGTTTCCTCCATCATATCCATCGTGTTTACCTCCACGGTATTCCTCATGCTTACCTCCACTGTATCCTCCATAGTTTCCTCCACTATATCCTCCATAGTTTCCTCCACCATATTCCTCATGTTTACTCTGCAGTATTCCTCATGTTTACCTCCGCCGTATCCTCCATAGTTTCCTCCACCGTATCCTCTACCATAGTTTCCTCCACCGTATCCTCCATAGTTTCCTCCACTATATCCCTCGTGTTTATCTTTGCCGTATTCATCGTGTTTTTCTCTGCCGTATTCCTCGTGTTTACCTCCGTCGTATCCTCCATAGTTTCCTCCACCGTATCCCTCGTATTTATCTCTGTCGTATTCCTCGTGTTTATCTCTGTCGTATTCCTTGTGTTTACTTCCGCCGTATCCTCCATAGTTTCCTCCACCGTATCCCTCGTGTTTATCTCTGTCGTATTCCTCGTGTTTGCCTCCGCCGTATTCCTCATACTTACCTACATAGTATCCTCCATAGTTTCTTCCATCATATCCCTCGTGTTTATCTTTGCCGTATTCCTCATGCTTACCTCCACCGTATCCCCCATAGTTTCCGCCATCGTATCCTTCGTGTCTACCTCTGCCATATCCCCCATAGTTTCCACCATCATATCCCTCGTGTTTTCCTCTGTCATATCCCCCGTACTTTCCTACATATTCAAATTCTTTACCATATCGATTGCCATAATTTTCAACACCATATCCTTCATAAGAACTTTTGACAAACGTCTGGCTGCAGAACAAATTCCTATTCCGAAGAACAGAAAGAACACAAGAGAAGAAAGTTTATGGAAGCCATTTGCATATGCATTTGAATGCTTTGAGTGAAGAGGTATATATATATATATAAGGTGAGCATGGGGCCTAAATACCACTACCTCACTCAATACACGCAAAAGGCAGAAAATGGGTTTGGTCCAAAATCTACGTTTAGGGCTACCAATCTTATACACATGATTTTGCACCTCACCTTCTCCGTAGCTCTCATTTACTTCATATTACAAAATCACTGTGTTTATTCACTCCCAGCTTTGAATGCAGCTCATGTTCTAAGTTTTATCAACAATGGCAAATTTCTCTTCTCAACCATTTCCTTCAAATGAAAGCATAATTTAGTCATTCAAATCTGCATGCATTTACCCATTTGCTTCATATTTCTTATTTTTATTTCTATTTACCCATTTTAGTTAATCCATCATCCCAAGTTATATTCGTATGTGTGAATGTTTGATTAATCCACCACACCCAAATGGTGGTGAGAGTTCTCTTATTTATAATCATTTACAGAATACAGAAATAAGGTAAATTACAAATAATAAGGAAATAGCGATAAAATGAAAGAATAATAAATGAATACAATATATTTGCATTTAGTAAAAGGGAAAATATGGTAACCCGTAATGTAAGACAAATATCTAGATATTTGCCTTAATGAACGGTCAACTATCCTTAACAGTATGTATATATCAATGTCTAATTTAACACTTTTTGTGTTGATGTATCAATGTCTATGCTATGTCTTTTAAAACACTCAATAATCCTATAAACTCAAATCTTTATGTGTTAATTCTAAGATGGTTGTTAATATCTAACTTGGATCATGCTTATGCTTGAGATGATGTTGGGTTACTATATTTTTTTCTACTAAGAAACCAAAAATTATATAAACTTTTTCGTGTTGAAGAGAGAAGTGATATTTGTAGGTATCGCTGGCACAATCTAGCATGCGAGCATATTTTACTCTAGGTGGCTGGAATATGTACGATTAGAACATAGAATGAACAATTTGGATAATTACATCCAAGTACATGATAAAATTGTGAAATTTCCTTTGGAACAAGAGAATTGAGAAACATGTTTAATTTAATAACTTCTGCTCTGGTATGATGGAGGAAAGGTATTTTGATATGTTCTCTGACCGATTGATTGATGTTATCTCCCTGTTGAGCTTGTTTGATTGTGTGTATGATTTATGTTAGGGTTTTCATGCATTAAGGATTGGTAGGAATACCTGCTTAAATAACATCTATGAATGGGTAGACATGATTCATGTGTTAGAAACGGTTGATAGATATATTTCCTAGTAGAGCATGCATCAAGATCACAGTCAAGAGTAGGATGCTATACATAGGGCGGTTTACATGTAGAACTGAGGTTTAGACCTATGTGCACCCAAGGATTGGCTAAGCTGAGAAGCTAACCTAAAACGACCTAGAATTGAGAAAATGGAAATGAAACTGCATGAATGCCCCTATGAAACTAGTAGACCTCTACGGTGTGTTAACATGATTTAAGTAGACTACAGGATCACAAAACTAGTTGAGCTACTATTGAGTGTAGAATCTGGACAGGGTCGACACTCTAATCCCATTAGACAAGTTTAAGAAGGACTAGGGACTACATGGGTATGTAGCTCAAGACATGGACCCTACTGAGTGTAGAAACAGGTGAATATGTAAACCAGTCCTTGTTGGTTTAGGGACTACACAGGTAGGTGTCAAGATGAGAGCTCCTATTGAGCGTAGAAACGAGTCAAGGTTAACGTTGCGACTTCGTGAAATGGTGTTGAATTTTATTGCAATTTCCACATTTTCAATGTTTTGCTTTATTTTGATTTTGTTTTGTTTGTATTTGATTTCATCTTTTTGTCATGGTCCAATTTTTCGAAATCTCAAAAATTGAGTCGTGATAGATTGGTATTAGAGTAGTCGGGTTTTAGGTCCTATAGACTTTGTTTTATCTATCACGACCCAATTTTTGAGATTTCTTTCTCCTCGTTGTCGGATCGGAGTTGTGACGGTTATTTGTTTCTCTCTATTCTCTTTTTATTTTCCTTTTCTTTTTCTTTTCTTTTCTTTTCTTTTTTTCTTTTGGGTAAAATTAATAAAATAAGAAAAGATAGAAGAGGATTAGAGAGCTATCCAACTTTGTTGTTCTCCTTCCATATAAGTTCCCTTCATTAAATGTCTCACATCCACCTCTTTGACTTAATATATCCTTCTTGGTCTTCTTTTCCTTCTACTGTCAACCGCGGCTGAATTAGGGTTCTTCTTCTTTGGTTTCACACAACTGTTGAATTAGGGTTCTTCTTCCTCTCTAGTTTCACACCGCTGCTGAATTAGGGTTCTTCTACCTCTTTGGTTTCACACCGCTGCTGAATTAGGGTTCTTCTTCCTCTCTGGTTTCAGAGAAGCACAACACTCTTGCTATCTATTTTATTTTTTCCCTTTGGTGGCTCCTCTTTCTTTTGGGTAACCTCTTATCCCATTTAGGGCCGGAAAGGAGTAAGTTGTTTACCTAGAATGTTCCTAATTGGGTAGTTAACGATCCACATAACTTGCTATATGGACTATAATTTCCATGTCGTCCCAAAATAATTTGCTTTCCGAATTGATTCAACATCATGATTAGCAACTTGTTTCCAGACTTTCTAGCAAGGTTGTTTTTTAATTTGTCACGCTATCATGGTTCAGCATAAATGTTCAAAAATTTTACCAAATAACTCAATTAAATATACAATTAGGCTAGATTTATGCAAATTGATATTCTTTTGATTTTGAACCACAATGGACTATTTCTTACTTACTAATTATTACAAAGAAAAAATTGCAAAGTTATCTGACTCATTACCAATTTTTTGTGTATATTTTTGTTTGCAGAATATTCATCCAAGCATAGCATAATTTAGATCGAGTTCTATATACTTCTTCTTCAACTCAGTTTTGTTCGCTATTTACCCTACACTTATAATCAATACCTATAAGAAAAATAACACATTTTTCACTACCACAGTATTTTCCAAAACACTTCTAGGATGATTGTCGTTCCTTTTTCCTTTTCTTTTGTGACTCGACTTCATAATTTATTTTTGAACTTTCTATTGTCATAACATTTTGATTTTTTTTTTCTCTCCCGAGAATCCTTGAAGTCATTCCTATTCTCAAGGTGCCTCCATTTGTGATGCAAATCACCTATGTCTTCGAGGATGACTATATAGATTAATATTCATTTTCCATTAGCTCGCCTCAATAGCATCCTAAGTTTTCTATAGGGCCACATTTGTGATGCAAGCTCGACTCAATAGGAAATTTTCAGTATGACCACATTTGTGATGCAACTCACCTCAACAATAATGATAATTTTTTTTTTTTTTTTTTTTTTTTTACATCCCTATTACCTTTGATTCTACCACCTCCATTGGTGATGCAGATTGCCTGACTACGAGCAATTGAAAGAAAAATTTTGCTTTTTTTTAGCATTGAGAGTTCAAGCTCTGGGTTGAAGATGAGTGGTCTCGAGTTTGGATATATATATATATAATCATTTTGAATGAGGTGATAGAATTATTTTAATACCCCAAACATGACTAGTCATTGTTTTCGATAAACATTGGTGTGAACGTGGTGTCATTCTTGAAAGTAGCTTGAGGTGTGGAAGCTCTTGATTATTGTTTTTGCTAAAAATATGGTCTAAGATTGGGGGAATAATGGAAATTCTTGCTGACTAAGATTGAACCCTAGCCATGGATACTCTTCCTATCTATTTTAGCTTTAGGTTTCTTTTTCTTTTTTTGAGTTATATCTTTAAAGGAAACACACCTCTCATCTAGTTAACTTTTTATTATATCGAAGAATTTTACATTGAGTAATATGCCTATGACTAATGACTCTTACTCAAAAAGTCAAGACAAAGAAACTATCATGACATATGCATGAAGAAAATGATCATGACTTAACTGTAAACTCTGTCTGAGTCTGGGCTCCCTCCTCTATCCTTTACTCCTAATTCCTAATTCTGATACTCTCTACCTCTACTTTACTGTTAAACTGGTGTCATTTACTTCATTCACTTATACTCGCTAAACTCCTACTCCTCCTGCTAATTCTTATACTGTACTGCTGCTTCCTACTCCTACTCTTAATTCTGATACTCTACTCTACTCTTAAACAGGAGTCTTTTACTGAACTGATACTCTACTACTAAATTCCTATTTTTACTCCTAGTTATTATACTCTACTGCTAAACTGCAGTCCTTTACTTCACTTCTATTCTATCTACGGTTAAACTCCTATTCTTACTCCTAATAATTCTACTCTACTGGTAAACTCCTATTCCCGATTTAGTGGTGATGGACTGGCCACCATTTATCTCATGACCTTAATTATGGTAAATAATTATGCCCCGAATGATGAGACATAACAATTAGGTAACGTAAAATTCAAAATAGGCATATAAACCACTTAATCTCAACTATGGGTAAGTGAGAAATTAACATATTTAACCAAGTAATCTTTGTTTCAGGGTATACTAAAATTCTTCTCAAGAAGATTAAAATTAACTATCTAATGCAAGAAAAGAAGCACTACTTGGTTTACTTGGAGCTTGATATATATAGCAAATTGTGACCAACTCACTTTTTCTCTTTTCATTTTTCAGTTATCCATTGTCAAAGAAGTGATGCCCTCTTAGTTCTATCGAGGCTGGAAACAATTCTATGAATTCTATCCCCCATATTTCAAATAGTTCTACTTCTAAGATGTAGTTCGAGGGTGTGTCCTTAATAGATGACTTGATGGGTGAACTTTTTCTGATCTTTAATTCTAATGATTGAAAAGCTCTACTGAATTCATCTAAAACGGGTAAGTGTTTTGTTGACTTACTCCACCAGCTGTCTTCTTCCTGCTCACATTCCCAACTATCTCATTCCTCTACTGCTCGTTGCTCAATCAACTCATCAACTACTAAACATTCCTCTGCTACTGTTGAATATTTCATGCTATAATTGATATTAAATTCGACTTTTTTGTCACCTATTCGCATAGACATCTACTAGTGTTCTCCAGGTCTTTAAAAAAGGTATTCCCAAGATAATTGGTACATCAAAGTCCACTTCATAGCCTAAAATAATAAAATCCGCTGAAAATATGAATTTATTCACTTGAATTAAAATGTCTTCGATCTTTCCTTTGGGATAAGTGATGGACCTATCGACTAGTCAAATGGTCAATGTAGTTGGTCTAGCATTACCAATCCCTAACTGGTATTAAGTTGATGTATGTCCCCAAGTCAAATAATGTTCAACCTAACTCCTTTTCTCCAATTGATACGGGAATAGTGAACGAGCTTGGGTCTTCCTCAGTGGGATCTTGTTTTTTAATATTGCACTATACTCTTGATTCAGTGCAACCAACTTCAATTCTTCAAACTTCCTCCTATTCTTGAGCACACATAATTGGCCATTTGCTTCAACTCCAACATTAGTGATATGTTTATATGAATTTCCTTCTGAATGTCCATAAACTTTTCAAAATGGGCTTCATCTTTTTTTTTTTTTTTTTTTTTT